CTTGATTTTCAACTAGAATTAACTTTCATTTTGATAATTTACAATTGTCATCGTCAGAAAATGACTATTGGAATGTACAAAAAGGTCTATATATATATAAATTTGTAATTTGTAACATCAAAAGATAGTCAAATTACAATTTGTCACAAGGAACAAAACACAACAAACGAAACAAGGCGCATGATTATGCAATAATTGGAATCCTTCTATAATCCTGCTCCTTGTTTTGTTCCTTCTAATAAATTGTAATTCTATTATCTTTTTATGTTACATGTTACAAACGACATACGCACACTTCCCCGCGAGACAGTTGCCTGCATGACACTTACCCGCAAAATAAATTCGCACTACTATTCTTCGAAACAAAGGGGACTAATTTCATTGCTTTTAAAATCTTATTCATTTTATCAACTCAGTTATACTAGGTGGGTAAAAATATTATTCCAGGGGGGGGGGGGGGGGGGGGTAACGCTATGATTTGAAATAGCAATCATAACAAATTTTATACCAAATTAAAGCGCGTCAAAAACGGAATTTAGCAGTACTAAACAGTAAGGAATATGGAAACTTTTCTGTGTTGAACTGAACCAATTTTTGAAATATAATGGCGATACTCTGTAAATAATGAATCATTTGACCAGAATGTAATTGTTTTTCCTATATATATCCGTCGATTTATCGGTTTTATAAGGATTCAACGTGCTTCAAAGCTGAAACTACGATTATTTTTTTGCTTTCTATTGTCTTTTATCTCTCTGAAACGTGAATAACGATGTATTGGAATTATACTAGAAAGGATAAACCAGTGCACATTTTTATTCTTCTAAGTGACTTGCTCGTTTGCACTCATTTTTCGTTTCTGTTCTTTCGCATAGTATTAATGTTATAGAAGAAAAATAATTTTCTTTCTTTTTTCAAGAATAATGACTCACGATAGCAGTTAGTCAACATTATTTTTTCTCATTCCTATTTTATCTTAGAAATTTCTCGAAAAAGAATTTTAAATGTTCGTAAGACCTTATAGAAAGTTATTAGTGATAGACAAACTCTATAAATAGAAAAAATATACCAAATTGATTGATCAGTTAAATTTATTAATTGAAAATGGCTGGTACTTACGACAACGAAGAGCAAAGAATGGTCGATAGAATTAAATGCATCGCTTTTCGTGAAGCTCGCGATGAGGGTGCAACATTTATTAATCGACAATTGATTGCACAGAAAATTCATCGAACTACTCGATTTGTTACTGAGTGGTGGGAGAAATCATATGATGAATGTTTTGCTGATTATTCGAAATCTGGTCGTAAACTGAAGTTATCAGAAGCGAGTAGAAATATCATTCTGAACGCCAGTGGCAAACAAGGGAAAAGCTCTTATATTGTGGCGAAAGAAATTGCAGAAAAGCCAACCGAATATGTTGTTCGAAAAACCATCGATAATTATCGTTCCAGAGAAGGACTAAAGCCTTTTCATGTTATTTCAAAACCGTTAAAAACAGAAACTCATATTTCTAATCGATTGTGGTTCTGCGATTGGTTAAAAGACTGGACTAAAGAAGACTTTCTACACCTTGCGCCATCAGATGATTTTTATGTCTAGATCGTTCTCAGACTAAATTATCAAAATGATCGAGTCTGGGCAAAAAGTATTGAAGATATAGAAGACGATGAAAGATATCGTGAAATGGTTAAAAATCAAGTGTGTATTGGGATTTTTGTGATTTTTACTGCCAAAAAGTTACAATGGGTTATCAAAGACAAAGGTGAATCTTGAGCGGGCCAATATTTTCGTGATACAATTCTAATGCAACATGTGATACCATTTCTAAAAAAATGAAGAAAATGTTATCGATCCGAATGAATTAATGTTTGTCCATGACAAAGCACCATGCATGTAAGCAAATATGACTCAACATTTGCTTCAAGACAATAACATCAAATTCTGGGGAAATGACACTTGGCCCGGAAACTCGCCTGATCTAAATGTGGCTGAACATATTGAAACAGTAATTAAAAATGAAGCTGAAAAAGATGCTAATAGAATCGGAACATGATCGTTATCGAGGAGAAATTTTGAAGAAACACATTTCAGATGTTTTGAAAAATATGGAAACGGATATTGAATTATTTGAAACTCTCTTATGTTCGTATCCGTCACGTCTTCGTGCTGGAAAGAATGTTAACGGTCGTCATACTGATTATTGATTATATTCACTGAACTTTAATAAAAATAAAAATTTCTTTGTCATATGTCAACATTTGAAAACAGATCTAGTTTAAATTGTCTCATAACTCTGATTTTCTGCGACAACACAACATAGTATTTTTGAAAAGTGCTTCAATTTAATATAGAAAAGTTTCTATATCCCTTACTATTTAGTACTACTAAATCTCATTTTTGACGCGCTTTAATTTGGTATAAAATTTGTTATGATTGCTACTTGAAATCATAGCGTTACCCCCTGGAATAATATTTTTACTCACCTAGTACATCAAATAGGATTCAGTGGTTCCAAAAAATGGAATCGGAACTGACTTTTTTAAAAACTACTTGGAACGAGAACCGGTCAACCAGCAGATAGAGACAAAAAAAACTCAAATCTATTTCGAAATATCATGATTTTCTCATTCTTCTGAACGTTGAAGATTTCAGTATACACGTATAATACTGTTTTATTAAAGCAATTAAATATGTGGCGTCTTTGGTTTTAAAATTTAAAGAGTAAAGCTTATTAGAATTGATTTCAGATTCTCGTATCTCTATGAGGACTTAGCGGTTCGGGATACGCGTAACATTCTGGAAGCCGCCGAATTCTAACATCAAATGTTGCGTTTGAGTCTTTGAGATAAAGTAGAAAGTTTAGTAGGAGTAAAGAGTTCGCACATCTACACTTCCATAAAATGTTTCAAAATCGTTTGAAAAATACTAAAAGACATTTCAAACAAGATCTATCAATAGGTATTATAGAGCGTTTATCCTTCCGAAAAATACATAAAAGTATACATTGATAATCACATTTAGTTAGTAGAAATGTCTCTTTGAATATTTGCATATTCAGTAACGAAATTGATAGTTCCAGTTTTGTGGTATTTCTTCCAATACATAGAGTACATTTAGAAGTTAAAGTAGAGTTCTTAGAGAAATTGTTACCAAGAAGAATTTCCGCTTGGTAAAATCGGTCCTACTTATTTCAGAAAAAGCGTCACAAATTCATGTCCTCAAAGTTCAGTATTGAATGATTACTTTGTGGAGTTTCTTATTCCTGCTTCAAAGAATCAAGATATTCTATTTTATGTCGTTTGAATCAGCGAAACGATTATTTTTTTTTCGTAAATTAGAATTTATTATGTCATATAAAATCTGAATGTAATACGATGCTTGATCGTCAATCGATTCGTGTACAATTATCTGATACAAGAATTTTATCAATTCCAATAAAAATTACAACAACAGCTTTATCAACTCAGTTAGTCATAGAAAAGATTTATTAGAAGATATAAATGATGATGAAACCAAAAAAAAAAGAAGCATCACCTGTGAAAAAAACGAAAAAAAAATCCCATTGATATTATTGATAAATATACCGTCAATCCTGAATCAATAAAAAGTTATTCATTAGATACAAATTCATCAACATTAACACTTTCAAATACACATTTTCTTCTTCATGATAATTATAAATTGATTTCATTTGATTAGCATAAAAAATTAACTGAACTTGACTGAAAAGATAATGATTAATGGTCTGTTTCTTTCTTTGATTTTATTTCAAAAATAATTTTTTTTGTTTTCTTTAAGATATTCTTGTTGATATATGTAGGATGCCATCATTATCTGTCTTTGTACTATTAACAATTCATTCTGTATACTTATATGATTCAATAAAATCATCACCAAACTTTTCAATTAAACTTGATGCATTTCAACCTGCAAATCGATCACATGTTTTAGCATCGATATCACCATTTGAACGTGATATTTATATAAATTATCATACAGGTGTACATGTTGATCAATATCGTGTTTCATCAACATCACAATGGACATTGGAAAAAGATTATTCGAATTCTAATTGTTGTGAAACAGAAGATATTAGAATTCGTGATGTTCGATGTGATTCTCAATATATTTGTTTATCAATAATGCAACAAGATGATTTTAAATGGCAATTAGATATAATGTCACGTGGTATGAAAAGAATAAGACGCGGAATTGCAATGCATTCAAGAGATAATCAACATAAATTTTTTTTAGTGCTTATAGCACTTCATGATTAATGATGGTTATTTGTTAATTGGTATACAAATAAACTTTTGGCAGTTGGTCAACAAGGAAAAACAAAATTAATTAAAGATACTAAAATAAGAAATATTCGAAATGTTTGTATTTCTTCTAATTATTGTTACATGACTGTTAGAACGGAAAAACGATCAGCTCTTAAACTTTATAACCTTGATTAAATACGTTTTTCATCTTCTTTTGTCAATGTAAAGTTTTTCTGTAGTATTAATAATAAAAACAATGCCTCATTTTACATCATAATCCCTTCCTTTCGTTAAAATTAATTCATCCAAAGGTAATTAACAAAAATCTCTTTTTTCCTAAATTAAAACAAAAATAGTATTTATCTATTTATTCTCTACTAGTCTTTTATTTTTCTTATTCTAGTTTAACTGATAAATTTCAACGAAATATTCTACTATTGATTATATATATTGTTTATATTTAATTCAAAATGTCATCGTTTATAAGTCAAACTTATATTCAAGTGAAATTATCACAAAATCTAGTAGCAGTGTTAGTTATACGGCTCCGAATCGAACTTATACTTGTAAATTTGTTAATGAAATATTGTCATTAACTGATCATGAAATAGAAAGATTAATTCAAAGTGATAATTTTCATTTATTACACGAGGATATACAAAAATTTTATCATGAAAATAAAAATTTAAAAGCAAATGATTTGTTGATTTATTTTCTAATTTAAAACCGAACATGTCTTGGAATTCTACTGATGGTTCACGACTTAGTAATTATTCAAGTTATCCTTTTTATTACAAATCAATTATTGAATTAAAAACAAGTGAATTAAAGAAGAAAGATTTCGATCAAATAGCCAGTTATTCCACTTCTATATTACGTTATTCTCCTGGTCGAAAATTCATCATAGGTTGTTTAGCAAATTTTGAAGAAACAAAGTTAAGCATGGTTTTATATGATGATACATTAAATCAGATCAAGTATATAACACAAACTAGAATTACACAACTCACTGATCTACAAATATTAACATTATTTTTAAGTTTATCAGCTACTCAATTAGTTTATAATGATAAATTTATAAATATACTTTCAAATAAAAAGATAACATTTTTACATTATTTGGGACGTGGTAGTTCGTCGTTTGTGTTCTATTCTGAAGCTCAACAAGAACAACGGACAAAATTTGTTTTAAAAATCTCAAGACAAAATTGTTCTAAAGAAAAATTTATAATTGAAGAAATGAACAAAATAAAACCCAAAAATATGAATTTAATTCAATGTATGGATATGGATTTTGATGATGAAAATGCTGATTATTTAATTGCATTTAATTTACGTGGAGTTAAACTTGATGGAATATTCATACAACGTTTTTTAGATAATACACAATTATTGATTAATACTTGGAAACAAGCTAATTTATGTAAGTAAATGATCATTGAAAATATGTCATTTATATAAAAATCAATTTTTATTTGTCCAAAACTGAGTATTGATACAGAAATGAACACAGGACAGGACAAATAAGTTGGTCCTGCTCTTATTACGTCGTTTTTTCTACAATCTTCGTATAGTTCGTTTCGCCATTTGATATACTCGATGTGTACTATATGTCGTGAATGTACTATTGAAATGACAAATTGTGCTAACTTTAGCATTCGTCGATAAAAGTGTTGTAGTAGAGTTCATCAGGTCAATTTTGAACCCGGTTCGGTTTCGGAATTCAAAAATTCTCTCTTGTTCGGATTGGATCCTAAAATTTTATGTTGGCCGAGTTTGGGCTCTAGTTTGAAAATTTTAGATCCAACGGATTCTATTTAAGAATAAGAACCAATCATAACTTGATTATTGTGAGTTCATCGACAATATCGCCTGAGAAATGTATATGTCGTGCTAGTCGCCAAAAAAAATGGCCAAAAAAAGCTTCGTGTATTTGCAGAACGACTACCAGATTAATTTATAAAAATCTTTATTAAAAGAATTAAAACTGCTGTTTCAGTTGTGAGTCCGTATCTAACAGGTTTGGACCGGAATGGCTTTAGCCAGGAGTCGAATGACTATTTGTCGGAACCGAATCACTTATACAATAAAGACGAACTAAGATCAATTTAAAACAATTAGATAATATATTACTAGCATAATACATATAACCGTATGCAAGATTTTTTAATGAATATGTGTTTTATTTTTTGTGTATGATACTTTTTTACTTGTGCGCTAATGTTATTGACACATCTACTCATTGTTTAACCGCTTTGACTATTGTTGTATTACCTACTGTGTAATTATAATAATGATGATTAAATAGTTAACTTTCGCGACTTGTTTCATATGCATTTTTTTACTAAGACATGTGTGTTATTGAAAAGAAATGACTAATTGTCTTTGTCCAGCTCAATGCCTGTCCTGTCAAGTAAGACATGATGGGAAGTCGTTTGTTGTCTTGTCCTGCCGCTCAGCAGGGCAGGACAGGACAGAAAAAGTTGTCCTATGCTCACCTCTGTATTGATAGTTTTCAACAGACTAAAGGAGATTCAATGATGAGGCCATCTTTAAATATTTTACACTCTATGACGTTTATTTTTTCAATATATTTTGATGGTTGTTAAAGATTAATAACGTTCTTTTGTTTTTACGTCATAAAATAGGTTATATACATAGTGACATTCGAATTGGAAATACGATAATGAATGATAATATGTTATATATCAACGATTATAGTAGTGCTGTACAACCAAAAACCCCAAATTATTATCAAGGGTGTTTATCTACAGCATCAAATAGTATACTAAAAATTTTACAATCAAATAATGAAAAAATATCATTGTATTATACTGATGATGGAATTTCGTTTTTAAAAAGTATATTATTATTAAAACCTTATTTTCAACATTATACATCAAATATTTTAAAAGCAATTGCAGATAATGAGACATGTGATATTCTACTAATTTATGAATATACAATGAAATTATTTAAGGATAAAAATATTATTAAAACACTTGCATTTTTAGAAGAAGATAGAGAAATATTATCCATCGATGATTTAAATGATATAATAATACGTGCATTAGAAACTGAAAAAACAGATGACTATCATATTGATGAATATTTACAAAAGTTGAAGTTATAAATCATTAATAAATGAACGTTTATTTTTCTCTTTTTCATATCTCCTGTTACTTGTAATTATTGTTCTTTAAGCTTCTCTATTTGTATTGTATTGTTGTTCTGTGCAGTTTTTATTGTTCTACAACTATTGATTTAGGTAATAAAAAAATGA